CTGCCCCGCGGGGCCTCGGGCACAGCCTCGGCGCTCGGGGGCGAGCCGCAGTCCTGGGGCACGGGCCGGCTGCTGGCGGCCTCCTCCCGGCCCCGCCGCCCGAAGTAGCGCTGGATGTCGCAGCTGATGAGCTCCGAAAACCTGAGGAGACGCAGCGTGGTCTCAGCAGTGCTGGAGACGCCGGCCAGCTCCGGCCTCACGCTCTCCTCCACTGCTTCCACGTCCTCCTCCTCTTCCTCCTCTTCTTCTTCCTCCTCCTCCTCGGAGAGGTCAGGGAAGTCAGGCTCAGGGTGCGTGGGCAGCAGGAGGCCGTGTGGGAAGGGCGAGGGCAGCCGCAGCTCGGCCAGGGGCTGGATGACTCCTGCAGCCATGTCAGCGCTCAGAGGCACCCCCAGGAGTCACCCTGTGGGCAGGGACAGCGGGGTCAGGGTGACACCAACCCTGGCACCAACCCTGACCCACCGCCCAGCAACCCTGAGAGGGCAAGGGACCATGTTGTGCCATGCCGTGACCAAGGTGGGGCCACAGGGCAGCAGGGATGTCCCCCATAAATAATGGGGTGTGGGATGTACCCACCAAGCTGTGGGGAAGAAGGCAGTGGGGGTATTCCCCCTGGGACATCCCCACTCAGCCCTGGGACAGCAGGCACCAGGGGTGCCCCCACCAAAACATGGGATCTGGGGCAGCAGAAGCATAACCCTGAGTCGTGGGACATGGAGTAGCAGAGATGCCATTCCCCTACAAGCAACAGGACATGGGACAGTGGGGGTGTTCTAACTGAGCCCTGGGACATCGAGCAACAGGGATGTCCCCATCAAGCCATGTGGTGTGGGACAATGGGAATGTGTCCCTAAATCATGGGATGTGGGGCAGCAAGGCTGTTTGACATGGGTGTCCACACCAAGTCATGAGATGCAGGGCAGTGGGGATGTTTTCCAGAGCTGTGGGGCAGAGGGATGTTCCCCTTCACCCCAGGGCTGTGCATGGGGGTCAATGGGGGCTCAGCACCCACCCTGCAGCTCAGTGCCACAGAGCCCCATGCCCTGCCCACACCATGGCCCCTTGGGTTTCCCAGTGACAGAGTGAGCCCACCACCTCCCTGCCCTGCCTGGGTGGGCTCTGACCACAGCTGGGTTTTGCTGAGGTGGACCTGGCCCCTTTCTAGCTCATGCTCCCTTGCTGAAGGGTCCCCAGCCTTGCTGCAGAACACCCCTGGCCATACTGCGAGGGTCTCAGGGCACGACCAAATCCTGGGGAACCAATCCTGCCCCTGGCACACCAGCATGGTGCCAGGACCTGCACCCAGCCTAAGATCATCCTTTCCATCTCTCCGTGTCCCTCTTTGTGCCATCCCCACCGCGGTACCCCCGGTGCTGCCCCGGGGGGCTCAGCCTCACCTCTGGGCTGCGGGGAGGGGGGAGCAGGGCCACCACAGCCTGCCCTGGAGCCCCCCTCAGCCAGAGAGACCCCCGAGCCAGGCGGGCATCGCCCGGCCGCGGTTCCGCACTCACCTTGGCGCTGCCGCCCGGCCATGCATAGGCTCCCGCGCCGCTCCCCCTGCCCGTCCCTCCACCTGGGCCTGAAGTATTTATAGCGGAGCAGCGAGCTGACGGCTGGCAAATATTTGGTAGCCGTATTGTAATAGTAGACTCGGTAAACAGAGCCGGGGTTTGCTTTAGCACCCAGCAACGGGAGAGCGGCGCGGGGAGGGACGCGGGGATGGAAGGCAGGGCTCACCTTAATGGTTCACTCGCCAGGGGATTTTCAAGTGTTGTCCCTGTAAATTCACCTATTAAATCGGCAGCCCCAGCTGCCGAACTGCCCGCACACTTGTGCCGAGGGCTCTTATCTCCCTGCTGATTGGAGGTGAAATCAAGCTTTGTCAAATAGGCGTAAAATTAAATTTCATGCTATTTTGACTCCTGGAGTAGGGATCTTCTGAAGAACATACTGCTTATCGAGCCATGCCTCTGCAAACAGGGGCTGCCGCTGCAGTGGGCAAAGCCCTTCTGTGGGTACCCCCAGCTGCTACTCCACCACCCCTCATGCAGGTTCAGACCACCCATCTCCAGCCTTGTGCTCCTTCGAGATGGATGTTGGGCTTCCCAGCCAGGCCTGGGAGGGTTTTGGAACCTGTGGATGCAAAGGTGGATATACCATGTGGAGAGTGTCTGGGCCAGTGGGGACAGACCTGGATGACAGCATTTTCACCCCATGCTATGGCCCATGGCTCCCCTGTGAGGACAGGGACAATGGCAATCAGCTCAGGTCCCAGACAGGCTGTGCTGGAGGTGCCATCTCTGCCCTGGCAGCAGGAAATGCCAGCAGGGTCAGCACAGAACAGGGCCAGGGGACACAGTGACTGGGGACACAGGATGGCCAGAGGGCACAGGACAGCCTGCCCCTGAGAACTGAAGGGATGGCAGGAGCCTGACGCAGCACCAGACCCTGTCATGTGTTGGGGACACTCAGGGAGTGGGACACCAGCCACTGGGCTTGGGGACAGCCACAGTCCTGCTCCAGAGCTGCCCTGCTCTCCTGTTTTTGGGGTAACCACAGCTCCTAGTTTCTCCCTCGGAGCCCTCCCTGCCCCCTGCCCTGAGCACCGTGTTCTGAGGTGTCTGCAGTGCTGAGATGGGGTTCCCAGCTCCGGGCAGGGTGCAGCACTGGCGAGGGCAGTGTCCCAGCCTGGCCGGGCTGTCGGCCGCCCGCTCCCCGGGCCGGCAGCCCTGGGGCTCCCTGCAGGGGCAGGGCTGAGCACCGGCTCCGCTGAGCTCCCTCTCCTCTCTCCGAACACCCAGCGGCGCAGCGCGGCGGGAGCAGCAGCCACCCGGGCACTGCCGGGCAAACACGGTGGACGGATGGGAGCTGATTAGCCACGGGCACCCTTCGGTCTGCTCCCTGCCACCCACCCGCCCGGCACGGCCCGGCATGGCACAGCTAGGCACAGCTACCGGCCAGCCACCCTGATCCCCAGCCCGCAGCCACCTGTGTCCCAGGCCCTGTTCCCGCAGTGCAGGAGATGGGCACACAGCCTCGGGGGCAGTCCGGCCGGAGGAAAGGGCTGCCCTGACCCTTTGGCCAGGTGGGAAGGGTCTGGCCGTGCTGGCGAGCAGGGCCGGGTGTGGGACAAGGTGTGGGTAGCACATGTCTTGGCTGCTGGCTCACAGAATTGGGAGTGATGAGGTGTCCGTCCTCTGTGGGAAGGAGTCACGCACTTAAGGAACACCCAGGGCTCGGCAGGACCAAGGGCGAGCAGCAGGGAGAGGCAACGCCACTGCTCCTGCAGCATTTGCACCATTCGAGTGCCCAGGGTGGTTATCCCTGCTCCAGACTTTGCCAGGGCCGGGCATGAGGAGCTCCTGTCCCACAGGGAAGGGGTCTCCTGTTTGCAGAGAGCCCCGCAGACAAGCAGGGAGGTCACAGACCCCACTCGGAGGTGAGACTGATTCTGCTGAGCCGGGATGCTGCAGCGGAGCGGGGCCCTGCCGGGGCTGGCTCACGGTGCCTTTCCCGGGAAGCCAGCGGAGCTTCAAAGCTGCGGGAAAGCCAGGCATGGCTGTGGCAAAGGAGCATCCTGCAGCAGCGCTCCGGCTCTAACCTCGCTGCCTTTGGAGCCCTGCGGCAGCAAAGAGAGCGGGTGGGATTTCTCCGGCAAGGGGAGCATCCAGAGAGCAGCCGGGGCGGGGAGCTCAAGGTGAAGAGACAAGAGGTAAAACTCATGGGGGTGGTGCGAGCTGGAGCTCAGAAAGCCAGGCAGGGAACGCAGCACTCGGCAAAGCTCCGCAACAGCCCAAGCTCCTGCGAAACCACGGCCTCATCCTCTCCCAGCAGCTGGGAGAGCAGCAGCAGCCACGGGCCGTCCGCTCCTGTCCTGCCGCGTCCTCGGTCTCTCCGGGCTGTACCCGGGTGCAGGGGGGTTCGTCCCCTTGTCCGTGCGCCCACCCTGCCTACTGCTGCTTCCGCCTGCTCCGGCCGTGTGTCCCATCACCCCGACCCCGGCAGGGGCTTTCCCTGCCCCACCTTCCCCGCCCCACCTTCCCCACGGCGGCCGCGAGCTGCCACAGCGCGGCGGGGACGGGCCTGCTCCGGGCACCAGCCGGTCCCGGCGCCGCTGCGGTCTGGCTACCGTGCCCACGCCCGGCGAGCCCCGGGGCGGCACCAGGGCGGTGTCGGGGTCCGGTTCCACCGCGGCGGGGCCGGAACGATCCCCGACCGCCCCTCGGCGCCACCGCGCCCCTCCGACACCACTGCCCGAACAGACCACGCCCCCGACAGAGCCACGCCCCCGACATCACTGCCCAATCAGCCCACGCCCCTGCCACAGCCCAGCCACGCCCCCTGACATCACTGCCCAATCAGCCCACGCCCCCGCCACAGCCCAGCCACGCCCCCTGACATCACTGCCCAATCAGACCACGCCCCTCACCGCAGCCACGCCCCTCTGACATCACCGCCGCTCCGCTCAGACCACGCCCTCCAGGCTCGCCCCACCCTCAGCCCCGCCCCTCTGGGCCCGCCCCTGGCGGACTACCCTTCCCGTCATGCCGCGCGGCGCAGGGCGGGGCCGCTTCCGCTCAGCGCTCGCCGCGCGTCGCCGCCGCTGAGGCCGCTGAGCCGCCGCCGCCCCAGGCCCCGCTCCCGGTCTCGGTCGGAGCCGCCGCCTCCGGACCGGCCCCGCCATGTCGGCCCAGGCACAGATGCGGGCCCTGCTGGACCAGCTGATGGGCACGGCCCGGGACGGTGAGTAGGGGCGGGCGGGGCCTGCAGGAAACGCCGCGGCCTGGCGGCCACCTCACCGCGCGAGGCCCGGCCCGGCCACCGCCGCCGCTCCGGACCCGCGGCGCGATCCGGCCCCGCCCGCCCGGCTCCAGCCTCGGCGCGGCGGAGCGGGCCCGGGCCCGGGCCTGGCGGCGCTCGGGGCGGAGGGAGCCCGGGAGGGCCCGCGCCCGGCCGGCGGGGATCCCGCCGCGCCCCGGCCCCGCAGAGCGCCCGGCGCCCCCCGCCGCTCCGGGCCGCCGGCAGGCGCGGGGCCGGCTCCGTGCCCGCACGTCCAGCGGCGCGTAGGTAGGTGTGCCCGCAGCGCCGGGTGCTGTCCGAGACGAGAAATGTGACAGCCCGTGCAAAGTACGGTCCCGCTGCGGTTTGTGTCTCCCTTCTGCGACTCGTTGGGTACTTAAATTCCCTTTGGCACGTTAACAGGGCTGTCCAGGCACTTTGCACTTTGTTTCGTAAGTGAATAAGTGCTTTTCTTTCTCTGTGTATTGAGTTGCTATTGAATTGCTTCCCATATTTTTATTTCATACAAACTGAACAATTGTGGCCCCTCTATTTTATTTATAAAGGTTCAGTGTATCTTTGCCTGCCTACATCAATCTGCAAGGGAGTTGCAGAAAAGCCTCATGTTCATCGAGCCGTGAGTCACAACCAATTTTTAAAGCTGTTATAACAAAAAAAAAAAGTGTTTGCTTTTTTTCACAAGTAACTTTAAAAGTGTAGCTTAGAAAGAAAAAAAAAATTAAAAAAAAATTTCAGTAGACACAACATTATTCCTGGATGCTTGTGAATCCTAAACTATATTCATACTTTAGTATTACACATACCTGTGTCATATGCACAGATGAGCTTTAAAATTGTCACATACCATTACCACTTTGCCTTTACTTTTATGTATCATTCCCCTGACTTCCTTACTGCAGGTGTGGGCAAGAAAGCTTTTCCTTTAAAACTTTTCAACAATGGGCATAAAATTCTGCAGCTGAGGTCTTGAAGAATGCAGATGGGTATAGTATGTGTTGGAGCTCGCAGTGTGTATTGACTAACTTTGTTTCTTTTTTTATTATTTATTTTTTTGCTTTTCTGATATTGTCTCGTTTAAGTGGCTCCTGAGTGTAAAATGTCCTCTGAGGGTGGGCTGTGGGTGGGAGCACATGGTGTGTTCCAGGCCAGGACCTGCCAGCTCCTTCCTTGCAGGGCCTGGGAGAGCACACCTTGCATAGTTGGGTTCCAGACCAAATGGACTGATGGTTCAATTAGTGCCTGAGCAAAGAGCAGTTGTCTATAAATTTTTCCCAGCACAGCCCTCTTTTATGATCTGATAGTATGGGGTTTGGTATCTCCTGCCCCTTCTTCACAGTAAGAAAAAGAAAGGGTGGAAAAAAAAAAATAACAGGTTTTGGCTGGGAGCCAGCCTGTCTGTCTCCTTTTCTCCTCTGGCTGTGCTGCTTCTTTATGTGGATGACAGGCCTTGGACATTGCTTGGCTCGCCAGCACTGTGTTTAACATGGTGTCCTGGATGAATAAATGCTAAAATAGTGTTTGTTGCCAATTATAAGTGTTCCAGAATATCCTCTTGCCCTCTAAGCTATTTTTTTTTTTTTTTTTTTTTTTTTTTTTTTGAGTAATTTTGGGGAGCAGGAGCACCAAATATTTTAATCTGCATTTTGAGGTGAAATGTTCATGCTGATGCCTATGTTCTCTTGGTGTTCTAATGTCTCCTTATTTAAACCACACATAAATTTCAGGAGATGAAACCAGACAAAGGGTGAAGTTTACAGACGATCGTGTGTGCAAGAGTCACCTGCTGGATTGCTGTCCCCACGATATCCTGGCTGGAACAGTAAGTGTGGCATCTGGAATAAGGGATTCTGGTGAGGAGGGTGTTGGTACAGCTCTTGTCTCTGCAGGGTGGGTGACTTCTAGGAGAGATCTTTCTGTGCTCAGAGAGCAGTCACAAACCTAATTCCACTTCCTGTGACCCATGTATGGAACTGCTCTCACTTCTCAAAAAAAACCCACCAAAACCAACCAAACAAAGAACCAAACTAAGAGCTCTCAGAATTCACCTGAGAAGCTTTTTCTTTCACAATCCTGTGGGAAGTTGCAAAATTATTTGTCTTAACATTTTGAGATAAGTCAGAGCTTGCAACTTGTCCTGTGGTGGTTCCAAGCCTGTAGCTAGGCTGCTGCCCTGGTTCACTGCTGCATGTTCAGGTTAGAAAGTGTTTTCTTAGCAGCTGCACTAATCCTTGGAGATTTGTAGTCTCCTTGCCCCAGCCCTGATGGAAGAGCAGCTTTTGTATTGTTATTGTGGTGATGGTGGCAGGTTACATCTCTGGCTGAGTGTTGGTTGTTTGAGCTGCTTGGTTGTTTGTGTCACCGTGCCTGACTGGTTTCAGACACTTGTCTCAGCTCCTTTGCTGCTCCCTGTGGGAACAGAGCTGGCCAGTGTTCAAAGGTTTGGCTCACATGCTGCCTCAGAGAGCAGAAGGTGATGTGGGCTTTAACAGCGAGCTCGTGTGGAGGAAGTGTTCATTTGAGGCTCCCAGATGAAAGCTGCAGCCTGGCTGTGGAAAGAAAACTGTGTTTCTCATCACCATCGTTGTGCAGCAGTCACAGGATGGAGGTGAATGTGGATGTTTGAAATCCATCTTGGCCCTTGCTGTTTGCATGAAATACTGTGGCAATTCAGTGTCTGTCCACTTAACCAGATTGTTGAAAGATGCTGTGGTTATTTATAGCCCTTCCTGCTGCTCGTTAGGGAGCTGGCTGGCACAGTGGATCTTCAGCAAAGGGAGCGCTGGCACTGCTGCCCCTGCTTGTGTCACTGCCACAGCAGCAGTGTGGCAGCACTGGTAGAAAGAGCTGTAGCAAAAGCTGCCTCTGCCCTGAGCACTCAGACTTAAGCTGCTCAGTGGCTGCCTTTGCATATAAGATTGGAAAAGCTGAATACCAATCTCTGTACCTCTGTTTTTTGAAATTAATTTGAAGCTCAGATGTGTTTTGCAGTGCTTGTTCCATCAGCCTCCATATGACTTCACCTCCATTTCAGAATTTTAAACTTACAATCCTTTGTATAAGTCACTGTGGTCAGGGTGTGTTTTTTGGCACAAGATTCTAGAACAGTTTTTTGGAGCCCAAAGCATTGTTTGAAGATGAAAGCTGCCTTCTACCTCTTCTGGCAGGTTTTCAGAAAGAGAGTAAATGGTGAGTTTAAGCGGTAGTTCAGCAGAAGTGATGTGTGTGAGCTGTTGCCAAAGTTGGAGGAAGTCTGAAGTGTTTCAGGTGGGTTGTGAGTCTACAGGGCCAGAGAAGCACCTTGAGGAATTTATTTCTTCTGTTTTTACTTGTCTTGATTGAGTTATCCTTTCCCTCTCACTGTGGAAGTTGTGCTCAGAAACTGCAGGAGCAGGAAGAAAGACTGCTCCTGCACAAGTGATCTTGTGGCTCACTCACATGATTGTGTGGTAGCCTGGAAGTGGGTGTGCAGTTCTACACCTCTGTCAGCAGGTTACTGGGGCCAGAGCAAGTGTTGGTGCTGCAGATCTGTGTTGAAAGAACATGTGATGTCCAGAACAGGAAGAGCATTTCAGCTGTCACTGCTGCCAGTACAGAGTGAAACCTAGTTGGAATGTGCAGTCTTCCCTCGTGTTCTCAGCCAGCTTCACTGGCACTTTACAGTGCTCTGCTGAGGAAGAGCTGTATAGGTGGATCTGTCTCAGCTGGGTGGGGTATAATCCATCTCTGGGTGTATTTCCGCAGAAATCAGGATCTTGGACCTCTTGGAAACCTCCAACAGATGCTCCAAGCCTTTTGGTGCTTGCTGTGTTGTGTCCTCCCCTAAGGCATTGTTACTGCTGCATCCTTAATGTGTGCAGCTATTCCTTAGCAGGAAGCTGATTGAAGGCAAGCAGGAAGCTGATCCCTTGGGGAGCTGTGCTCAGTGAAATGTGATGGAGTCCCACTCACTGACCTTCAGGAGCAGAGTAAGAAAAGGAGTCCAGACTGTAGGCAAAGCTCTGGAATATTCCTGAGACCTGCAGGAGACCTGTTGATGTTTGCTTTGTTGAGGTGCATAAGTGTTCCTGATTGTAAGAGCTGTCATTTTAAGTTGGTGGTTATTCTGTTTTTGGCCCCAGAAACTTATCTAAACTTGCCACTAAATAACCTACAGTGGTTCTCTTTGGTCTCTGTGGGTAAGGAGGAACATTCTGGGAGAACAGGAGTTGGTTTAGTGAGATTGTGGGCTGTTACCAGGGCCCTTGTCATCCACATTGTTTGTGGTGAGTGATGAGCTCTCTCTGCAGCTCATGGTAAACGTATTTCTGTCAGGGAAAGTATTGTAGCACATTGAGAGGTGGCATCAGCTGGCAGTTCTCCTGAATTTCAGCTCCAGTAAGAGGTGGACAAATGAGCCTCAAAGCTGCCCAGATCAAACATACCTTGGAAATTACATCCAGAGAATTAATTGTGTCCCCTGCTGGGGAAAATAAGTTGAAATCTGTAGGTTCTAGAATTGTTTTTTTGTGGGTTGAGAGGGGGGGTTTGTGCTTTCCTTTTTCACTTGGATGAAACTCTGCATCTCTGATCACTGTTAAAGCATCTTTGTGGAAATTTCATTTTGTGGTGAGTTGCCAGTTGAGTGGAGATCATAAGAGGTACTTCAGAATGTGGATTTCTCAGCAAATGGGAGCAGGACTAATTATCAGTGACATCTAAATGTCTTCAGTCTTTGTGTGTGTGTGGAGTTAAATCTTTGCTCAGGCTCTGCTGGTTGCCTGTCTCACATACCTGTGTTGTAAACCAGCCAGTGTTGGCTGGAGCAGGTCATGATCTCTGTGTAAAGGGTGAGTGTTCTATGACAGCCCTCCTTGGGATGAGAGGAGGCTTTGAGGCAGAAGGGCTGGTGGTTTTACCCCGAGTGAGCAATACCTGTGGAAGTCTCTCCTTGCTCTTGAACATCTCAAAGGACATGGGGGAAGATTTGAGGTTTATAAGCTAGTGAGAACTGAATGTTCTTCCCTGTGGAAGGTCAAGGGATTTGTTGCCTGTTAACAAGCAGGAAGAGGAATAGGGAACTTCAGAACAAGCATTGTTGGCTGTTCTAAAGTGGTGAGAGCCCCTTCTCTGAACTGGGGTTAGTGGCTCAGCTTGAAGGGAGAGCTCAGATAAGAATATTTACAATGTGTGACAATCACATCCAATACCATTATTTTCTCCCTATCTTGGGAAATGATCTCAGTAGAATGACCAGAAAAATGAAAGATGTGTCACATCACAGGAAGTTATTTTTGTGGTAAAATAACAGTAGCTCTCTAGCATTCTTTGAAGTGGCTTGCCTGAAGTTGAACATGATCAAGCTCTAAAAGTACCAACATGCTTTTTTTTTGTAGGCATTACATTTGTATCATTAGAGAGCTCAGCAGGAGCATTCTGGATGCAGTGTCTGTTTCTGTAGCCTGCTGCCTCTGGCCTCCTGGTTCTGGTAAATACGAGCAAAATGAGGAAGGCTAAATAGTGGCAAATAGTTTGGATTTTTTTTTTTCCTTTTTTAGAAGAGAAAATCCAGTAATGGGCACCTGCTGAAAACCTGAGCATAAACTGGTAGAGTTTGCTTTAGTTGCTTTGCTTCATTCTAAACACTGCTGAGTGCATTGTTTCATGTAAGCATCCCCAGCTTTAGTTTGTGATATTCCACAGGGATTGAGAGTTATCCCAGTTCAGCTTTCTCTGCAGTTCACTGAGTTGACACCTGTTGTGCACATTGAGGTTTGGGCTCCTGGGGACTGGTGGTGAGAGTGAGAGAAGTGGTGGGTTGGGGTGTTCCCTCATTCAATGACATGTACCCTGCCATTCCTCCAGTGGCTCACAATTAGGGCTTTTATTATTTTGGCTTTCAAAATGTCATTTTCTTCTTCTACTCTTAGAATAAGATAAAGGTTCTTTGTTACAAGTTGATAATGTTGAAATGCAGCTTCCATGTCTTGAGAGCATAATTGACTTGGATTCATGTGGCTGTTAACTACTAGGTGGGAGAAAAAATAACAAATTCAAATAATTTGGAGTGCAATGGGAGGGAAGGGCAGCTTTCTGGGGAGAGAGATGCTCTTAAGTCTCTCATCAAATGGGCTTATGTGTAGGACTTTGCTTTGCTGGCCAGGTTTTCAAATTCCAGGCTGCAGCTGGATGTGGGAAGGGTCTGTCTGTGGAATTAATAACACAGTCTGTCTGTTGTTGCTGAGTGTGGGGTTGTGCATTTCAGCTGGCTGTAGCCCTTAATCCTTTTAAGTCCTTTTGTTGTTGATAGGAAGTATTCTGTGTGTATCCTACAATTTGGTATGTCATATGTTATTTGGGCTCATCCTGACACAGATGTGCATTTCCAGAGGAGATTTAAACAGGTATATTTTCCTGGGCTGTGGCTCTAGGATAGGAGGCATTTGCAGTTGGTGCCTATTGAAGGGGACCCACCTCCCTCCCAACCATTTCTGAGGCTGTCTTGGGACTTGAAGCAGGGGTAGGACTGGACTTAAAGCATTTGGGCTGTTTTAATGTTCCCAGGACATCTACAAAACGAGTTCTGACAAGCATGTGGTTCTTCTGGCTGGTTCTGGTACTGAGAGGTTAAGAGAAAGCTGCTTTTCATGAAAATACTTTATTTTGATATGATGCAGTTGGCAAGAGACATCTGCTGCTTGTTGCTGTAATGGAGGGTTCTTATGTGGGTTCTCCTTTTTCTTCTAACAGCGAATGGACCTGGGAGAATGTACAAAGATCCATGACTTGGCTCTGCGAGCAGATTATGAGATTGCAAGTAAAGAGAGAGACCTGTTTTTTGAGCTGGATGTAAGTATGGAGAAATTTTACTTTTGGGGAAACTACTTCTTGAAGTTACTGGGCTGAACAGTAAAACTCAGTGGCCATTTCGGCTCATCATATTGCTTGATGTGTTACCTGTCCAGAATGCAGCCCCTTCCTGAATGTCAGCCTGACTGCTGACTGGAGAATGCAGAAGTAATTATGGCCTTTGCCACCCCATTAGCCCAGCTAGTTGGGAGGCTCCCTGGCATTCCTTGGATCCCACACCTGCTGCAGGTTCTTGTAACCTGGTGCACTGTCCCAGAAAGATTAAACATTAAAAGCCTTCTGCTCAGTAGTTTAACTTTTGTCAGATTTAGCTTTCATTTTTTTCTGTGATGGAACATATCAAGGGGAAGCACAATTCTGTCTTTCCTTTTCATGTTACTTCAGTGCTTTTGTCTTTGTGCCTGTTGCTCCTGCATAGGAAGGAAGTTAGAGTGCAAAGCTGTGTTGATGTGTCAAGAGTAAAGGAACTGGGTCAGGCTTACAGGGCAGGGGTCAAATATAAGTTGTTCTGCAAAAGTGTCATTTGGGTTTTTTCTCAAAGCATCTCTTCTTGAGGCTGTTTTGCATTATACAGGATTGCAGCTATGACTGTCACAGCTGCATCTGGCACGGAGAGCAGCTTCATTTCACAATTCTTTGTCTGATCATGCAGGCGATGGATCACCTGGAATCCTTCATTGCAGAGTGTGACAGGAGAACAGAACTGGCCAAGAAACGCCTGGCTGAGACACAGGAAGAGATCAGTGCTGAAGTGTCTGCAAAGGTATTGGCCTTTAGCATGGAAGTAAAGCATATTGGTTTCTTCCCCATGCTATGAAATGTTACCATAATATTTTAGGATAGTAAGTCCATCATCCCATGATTTTTGTTTCATTTAACAAATGCTCGTGGAGTTTCCTTTTTGGGAACTTGCCTAATTGGACCAATACAAGACATTTCTGAAGCAGATTTTGTGGCCTCTGTGCTGACCTGTAAGCCAGAAATGACTGGCAGATCATGATCTCTCTACATCCAGTTTCTCTCTTTGCCACATGTCTGACTGTGTTGATGTTGGTCCACCAGTCCCTTTGGAGATTCATGGCCATCTTCCAACAACAGATTTCATTACACAGTATTTCTTTAAAAAAACGAAAAGTTGTCCTCCAAGCTTTATCACATTTTTGTCTTACTAAAAACTAACTATTCTCTTCAGGCAGAGAAAGTCCATGAGCTGAATGAAGATATTGGAAAACTCCTAGCTAAAGCTGAACAGCTGGGAGCTGAAGGAAATGTTGATGAGTCTCAAAAGATCCTGATGGAAGTGGAGAAAGTCCGAGCGAAAAAGAAAGAGGCAGAGGTACAGTGTTGGCTCTCCTCTGGGTTGTCACAGGAGCCTGGACTAGGCTGGGTGGTTTCTGCCTCTTCCTGTGTGCCAGCACCTCCTTTTGCATTTCCAGCCATGTGCCAGCAAACAGGTGGATGAAAAGATTTTTAGAAACTTTTATCTAGTGTAGGGAGCTGCCTGGGGTGGGGAGGGCTTCGTCCTCTGAAATATTTGGTTACCAGTCCCTTGCAGGGATAAACTGTTGGGTTAGCTGTGCCCACAAAACATTTGTGTGGCACCTCCTTTGTGTGAGGGTGGGCTTTGATTCTTCAAAGCAATTCTTCGCAGGGGTTTCCCTGGAGGGTTGTGTCTGTGTAAGAGTTCCCTGACATTTATGTGGGCTTTCTTGCCTTCCTGTAGGAAGAATACCGAAATTCAATGCCTGCATCCAGTTTCCAGCAGCAAAAGCTGCGTGTGTGTGAAGTCTGTTCCGCATATCTGGGTCTCCATGACAACGACCGGCGTCTTGCTGACCACTTTGGAGGCAAATTACACTTGGGTTTCATTCAGATTCGTGAGAAACTGGATCAGCTGAGGGTAATTCTCTCTGTTTTAAACCTTCTCTTTGTAGTTCTGAAGACCTTGAACACTTCTATTAAATTAATACAGAATTCTTTGCAGAGGGCTTGTAAAAGCTCAGAAATTTCCAACTGCAGAATTCCTAAAGCATCAAACAGAGCTTTGTTTAACCTCGTCTTGGGTTCTCTTCTGTCTTTTCTGGGTAACTAAATATGTACCCTCAGAATCAGCCAAACCAGAGCACTGCTATAATTTATTCCTTGGAGCTTTGGTACAGTCATTCTCATTAACATGAAAATTTGTTACTCTGGGTTTTTTTTGACTTTGAAACCTTTTAATGAAATGTTAGAACTGAAGTTTCACTTGGTTCTGTCAGTGAAAAGATCTTGACAGGCTGAAGCCATTAGGAGTTTTCTGAAATGGTTTGAAATGGGTTGTGGTACTGACCTTACTTGCAAACAGAGACCTTTAGCTGAGTAAGAGTTGTGATTCCTGTGCCTCACTCACAGTGCATTGAGGTCAGTGCCTCAACTGAGAAAAATGAGGACCCTGATAGAGATCTTAACTCAGCACATAAAATGCAGTGCAATGGTTCTTTGTCTTGCTATTGGAATGGTCTTCCTGCAGATCTGACCTGTTACTGTATTGCTGAAATATGATGTGGATTTCTTTTTTCCCCTAGAAAACAGTGGCAGAAAAGCAAGAGAAGAGAAACCAGGATCGTTTGAGACGGAGAGAGGAGAGAGAACGAGAGGAGAGGATGGGCAGACGGTGAGTGAGACCTGGGAACTGGTCTGTGAAGTTTAGAAGTATCTGATTCCTTGTACATGAGCACTGCAGGAGTTCAGCATCTGCTTCTGGAGTGGCTGTTGGATGTGCTCCAGATGCTGTGTGAGCATCTTGGGATTCACAAATCCTCCACTCCTCCACCTTAGAGTGATTGTACATGTATTTTGACCTTCACTGTGTGTCTGACAGGTGGGAGTTCCCTGTAGTCTTCATGTTTATATTGGTCTAATCCCTGTTTTAGGGAATCTGAATAAAATACCCTCATCCAGAGCACCTGAGTGGGAAAGTTTAAGATGAGTGAGGATTAGGCTTGCTCAAAAGGCAGTAGTGATGCAGAAATTCCCTGGACAGCCCTCCTCACTGCTTGGAGTCTTGGAGGTGACAAATGGGCTGGTGTCCCTGTGCCAATAGTGGACTGCATGTAACTTTTCTACAATAAGTGAGGTGTTTTGGCAAGCATTTCCTAAGGAAGCTGAGGGATCCCAAGGAGTGGCTGTTTCTGGTTGTTGTAGTTATGTGTGTCACTTTCTGGTCAGATGTCTAATTCCTGAGCAGTGGGAGGGGCTGGAACATTGGTTTTCTCAGGACAAGCTCTTCTGCATCTTGCTAGCTGAACTGAAAAAAAAATTTCTTCTGTACTTAAGCTGAAGAGGCATCTTGTATGTAACAACAGTTCAGTTAGGCAGCCTGGTGTGGTTATTTGCAGGGGTCAGGCAGAGGAAGTGGCTGGATAGGAATGCTGTTCTGATTGTCACAGCATCTCCCTGGTTACCTAGTGTGTTTCTCCTCATGTACATCTTGCATCAAAAAGACCCCATCCTTGCTGCCTGTGCAGAGCTATTTTTGAAACTCAAGAGTCAGCTGAAGAGTGACTTTGTCTGGGGAATATGAGATTTATAACTGCAGTGTACTCTAAGATGGTGCTGGCTCTGGCTATACATTGCTGGAATTGCTGGCAAATGAAGCAGCATGGTGATTTTAGTGTATTATGAGGATTTGAGCCCCAAACTGTTAATTATCCATATTGCCTTATGAATGTTATGCATAACTCCAGTTAGGGTGTTTAATGTGGGTTTTTTTCTGGGAATTGCCTGGTGTGATATGGAGGAGCAGTTCATGCTACAGCTTTCTGTGGAATTGTAGCACTTCATGGAGAGCCTCACAACTTTGTTATCCATGCAACTGTAATGCAGTTGAGTTTGGGAGCTGCAGGATCTGGAAGTAGCTTTCCAGTGCAGGAGTTAATCAAAAGGGACTGCTGTTGCTGCTGCTGTGGTCAGAGATGTGGAAGTGAAATGGGAAGTGTCTTCTCATGCAGCTGCTTCATGGCAGACCCACAGCAGGACCCTGCCTAACATGGACTCAGCTTGTCTCCATGGAGCATCTTCTTCCCGGAGGTCACTTCTCTGTAAAAATTCCTCAACAGAGTTGTTCAGGAAGAACCCTCTGGATCTTTTTGTTGATCCACATCTTCTCAAAATGCTGGTTTTCTTCCTCCTGTGGTGTGCCTGTCGTTTTGTTTTAGTGGTTAAAAAAAAAAAACAACCTCAAACCCTCAATTCTTGAGAGCTAAAGAGCCTCTTGTGTTCATAGGTAGTCCATATGTGGATGCATCTGATGAGGGGGTTTGAAAGCTGCTTTTGAATGTTTATTTAAGGCTTAAAATAGGAAAGCTTCTTTAAGAACTGCATGGAGCTGGCCTAAAGTCTGAGTTCTTGCTGTTTCCATAAGACAGTACTTAGGGACTGTGGCTGGCCTTTGCTCTGGCTCTGTGCAGAGGCACCTGTGTGCTCCACAGGAAGGTGTTATGGAGTCAGGAGTGCCATACATGAGTTGTCTCTCCAAAATGAGAACTTGACCTGAGAGAGGATCCCAGTGGACACTCAGTGTCAGAACTGAGGTTAGAGACCACATTTCTCAGTCACTTATCTGCTGGGAGCTGTGCACACCATGTTCACAGAGGCATTTTTCCATCAAAAACTAATTGGTGATGTCTGCCACCTTCCAGCCAGCCTCTCTTATCCAGAGCTTGGTACTTTTAGGAACCACAAGAAACATGTTCCCTTCAGAGCTCTTCTTGTCATATCCTTCTATACAGCACCTTCATGGTGTTACTTTAGTTAAGAGAGAGAGTATGGCTTGACTTTGGGAGTCTTTAGTGACTGACAGGCACTGTGATATCCCTGCAAACCTGTGGATTCCCTTGTGAAACTCTGCCTCTCACGGCTGTAATTAATTTGTCAATAAACTGGGATTCCACATAGGAATGAGTGAACTGGATTACCGCCCTAGTGGTAATAAACACAAGTCTTGTGGGATGTTGCTGGTGGCTGTTGGGTACCCAGTAATCTCTTGAGACTGGAATTCTGTGGAGAAGTGGCCTGCTGGGAAGTGCAGACCTCAGTGTTTGCTTCCAGAGTACACCAGCAAACAAGTCTGGTGGAGGTGCCAAATGGATTTCCTTTGTGTCCAGCTGGACAAAAGACAGGTTATGAAACTGAGCAGAAAGTCTCTGCGATAGAGGGATAAAAAAGGAGGAAAGATAAAATAGACTTGCTCAGTCCTCTTGCTCCTATGGAGAGCAGACTTCTTTGTCTCCTGCTGTACAATGATTCAGGCTACTAAGGACAATACTGTTTTGTTGGATACTTCCTAAATTCTGAAGTTTGGTTCTAGGGAGTGGTTATCAGATGTTTTTTGTGCATACCCCTGCTTGGATGATAGGCATGGAAGGACAGCCAGGCTTTTCAGGGGATGTGGAGAGGCTTTTGTGGATGTGTGCACTGGCGGTTCAGAACAAAGTGATCAGGAGGAAAAAGAACAGTAAGAACTTGGAGTAATTACAACTATCAGAAAAATCCAGTTGCCTGCCAGGTATCTCCAGGAGGTCCTGCAGCTCTGTCAGGTTCTGTTACGTGGGAATGGAGGTGTGTGGTTACTGCCTTGCTCTCCTGGTTTATCAGCTTTTCCTTCAGCTGGTCATGTGTGTTGCCACAGTGCATATTTCATTTGCAGACTCCAAGTTCACCTCCACTTTGTTTACAGTCCTTACCTGAATTCCTTTCTAATTTTGGGAGCTTTTTTAGCTTTCTACCATGGCTGAACAATCCCGTTTCACTGAAGAAATGTCAGTGCATGTAGATTTTCTTAATCTTGTCTTACCCAGGCATGGTTTTAAATAATGTTATTAAAACAGATGCTTCTCTATTGCTTCTTAAATTCTTGTCTGTGTGTAGCTTTCATGTCAGGGTGCCAGAACAGCTCTGTGGGATGTAAATGAAACCTGTGTGTGAGTCTGTGTGCAGTGGGGAGCAGTTACAGGAGTGAGTCTCTAAGTCACTAAACAGGGAGAGGAGCCACTTCTTAATTAAAGCAAAACAAGACTGTTCAGATGGTGTGTTCAGCTGGCTCTGAAATGTGGCCACGGAGGAAGAGGGAGGGTGCAGCTTCCATGTGCAGAGGTATTTTAAGTGGTGCTGAGTAATGGTGCTGCTGAAGTTGAAAGAATTCTGCCGTTGTTATTTACAAGCTGTCAGGAGCTAATGCTGACAGCAGTAAGCTCAGAGTGCCACACAGGAGCTCTGAGGCTCCTGGAATGTGAGAAAGGATAGCAAGGCCTGGATTATTCTTCTCTAGTGCTTTCTAAGGATTTTCAGTTTATCTCTGTCACATGTCAGTAATAGTTCTTCTCTTGTGGCTTTGTTGCCTGTTTTTTCCTAGTTATCTTTCCCAAAAGGGAAAAAAATTTGATACAAATTTCTTTCTAATGTTGGGTAAACAAATACAAGGAGTGAAAAAAGGCTGTTCTTTCTTTATTAAAACCCCTTTAGCATGCAACTGCCTCAGAGGAACCAGAATCAGAAAACTGGCAGATGTCTTTCTGATTGGAGAGTGGCACTTCTTGAAAATGTTAGTTGATCCAGTTGGTGTTAGACTGCAGGGAGTAAAAAAATATGTAACAAATATGCACAGAAGATTAGTTGGAAAGGTTCATTGAGGTGTTTTATTAATAGTATCTGGTTTGTAGACATTTTCTGTAGTGACAGGAAGCTCAGTGTGCAGAAATTCAGGTTTCCCAGTTTTTGACAAATTCTCACTCCTAAAACTGACACTAACTAAATGTTTCATTTCCAAACTTTTTTTTTTTTTTTAAGTAATATATCATTTGAGGTATTGGTTATTCTTGTGAAGAGCTGCCAGGGTGGATGAATTTTCCTATTGAAAACCCACTGGCTGTATCATAACTTCTCTCACTTAACTCTCCTCTCCTTTCTAGGTCTGGATCAAGAAATAGAGATCGTCGAAGGTGAGTGCCCAGTTCTGCACTTCTCCCAAATGCCTGTTTGTGTTTCTCTCTAGCCTCGGAGGTTTTTCCTGGGTCTCACCAATGGAGTTCACTCAGTGCCTCAGTGTCTGTTTTGCTCCCTGAACAAGATGGGAAGTGCAGTATGGGCACTTCAGTGGTGCTGTTCAGCTTGGTGTGGCTCATGGGGCTGTAGAGCAGGTGCTGAGCAGCTTGGCCAGGATGGGCTCTGTGTAGTCCAGGGTGAGCCCATGGATGTCCCCAAGGCCTCTTTCAATAAATACCTGATCATTTCCATGATTGGAGTATCTGCTATCTATATAATACCTCAGATGTGAAAATACAGAGATTTGAGATTAAAACCCCCACATCTCTGGGAAGAGCTTGCCTTAATGCTATGGCATCATTCTCTATGATAATGGATCTGGAGATCTTCCTGCCTACTGCTTTCTTTGGCATCTTTCTTATTTTTAGAGCAGGATGAAATAAATCTGCTTCTAAAGTGCCAGACTTTCACATGGAAGATTCTCTTAGGGTTATGGTAATTTCACAGGGCACTTCCTTTTGCCTGTCTTCTACTTACATGGGCCTCACTTGTGAGCAATGCAGGGTTGTAAGCTCTGCTCTGGCCCTTGCCACATGCTTACAATAACGTTGGGAGCTTTTTCTATAAGCTCTCCAGCAAACTGAATAACCCACTGGAGTTTTGTTGGTAGCACAAGGCCCGGGAGGAGGAGGAGGCAGCCGCCCACTCTGAGAGTGTGGGGGATCAGCCCAGGGTGTGGGCAGGGATGTGGGGGCAGGGGCTGGGCTGTGTTGATGCTCTGGGTGTTTGTTACTCAGGAGAGGCTGAGGGGCAGCTCAGGGTGCAGATGTGAGGCACTGAGGCAGTCTGTGTTCCCTGCAGATCACGGTCTCGGGAGCGGAGGCGGAGACGCTCCAGATCAGCCTCCCGGGAGCGGCGGAAGTCTCGCTCGCGCTCCCGGGACCGACACAGGCGCCACCGGAGCCGCTCCCGCAGCCACAGCAGAGGTCACCGCCGGGGCTCCAGAGACAGGAGTTCAAAACACAAGTATGTATTCCCACCAGGAGTGCTTTGGAAAGGGGAGTCCTTGGCTCACAGTGATCTCCCTGGCCCATAGAGTGAGCAGGGTTTTCCAGAGCAGCTGTGCTGGCCTGTGCCAGCTCCTGGGCCAAAGCAGGATTCCCCAGTGGCCTCACATGAAGGCAGAAACTGCACAGCAAGATCCCAGCTGAGAGGAGAGTCTAAGAGACAGAACAGGTTCTCTGATTTGCAGTGCTGAGCCTCGAGCAACACGAAGCCTCCCTGAGCTAACTGAGCTTCCCTGGGCCTGTAAAAGCCAAGTGCCTGAGAGGCAGTTTGAATGTTACACTTCTGTAGTTATTTTCTGCTTCCCAGATTCCTTCTCTCAGTGCTGGCATTGGGAAGGAGTCTGTGATTTGAGATCTGGGGAGAGTCTTCTGTTAGAAGGCTGCTTGAGAGAGAGAATTCTTTAGGAATCAGCGCTTTTTCCTCCTGAAAAAGAAATACAGGAGGAGTATACCATTCTTCTGTCTCTGAGGAGAAGCACTATAGTCCAAAGAAGGGCTTAAAGTTTTTTCTGAAATTCAGCAAAACAGCCTCTGTGTTGGAGGAAGGATGAGGCAAGTGTGTGTAGGGTATTAGAAAAATTGACTGGAATCACTGTGTTCCCTTACAGCCCTTCTAAGCCCAGGAGTAAGTCTGCCTCCAGGTGCTTGCTGAGGTTAGATCTGGATTCTTTTAAAGCCTCCTGGTTAATAGGGGAGTGCTTTAGCACTGTCACCTGATAAGGCACCAGCACTCAAGTACAATGCTAGAAACAAACCTTTTGTTGTGTGTCTTGTGTCAGCTTGGCTAAGGGATAAGAAAAGCTTTTCTTTTAAAGATACCTGGTGAAGGGGAGGGAAATAATGGTCTGAAAAAAAAGTCTGTTAATAATTGAGGGGGGGTGTAAATACTGTTGATTCTCCAATGGCTGAGATACTAAAGTGCTTTTTTAAATCTGTCTTGAACATGAAAAATAAAGAAAAGAAGTTTGGACAATTAGGAAGTGAGGAAGATCCTGTAATAACTATTACTAAAGAGCAGGTAAGGGATTACTTCGGAACCCTTGAACACATCCAAAACAGCCCATTGAGATTGCAGGGGGATTGGCCAGCTGACACACCTGCACAAAATTGCTGAGAGCCGGGGACAGGCCAGGATCAGCTTAAGAAAACATAACCAAAACAAGAGAACAAACAGCAAAACCCTATTTCTTGAAAGAGAGTAGCTTCTGTTTTCACCTCGAAAGTTAATGAAACCTGCCCTCAGGTTCTGCTGGGCTGAGGTTTCATTTGCTGAAAGAACTATGGTGAGTGTCACAGGATCTGGAGAGCTCAGGGCAGGAGGTCTGCAGGCAGCAGGCATTGTTGCGGAAAAGGTAGAGAGTTAATGTCATCAGACAAACTGATGTTGAATGACACAGTTTAATGAAAATGAAATGGCTGTTGGGTTTTGGTGTATCAATTCTGCAGTATTTTCAAGCCTTAAAATCAACAATAACGAAAGTGGAACCTCTAAGGTACCTTCTGTTGTGACTGTAAAAAAACCCTGTGTACTGAGCTTTGAAGTAAAATCTAAGAGCCTCTTCTGAGCTCCCTCAGGGTCAGCTCCTTTTGAATCCTGCTATTCCCTAAGCTGGCAGGAATCACACAAGAAACAGCCTTTCAGATTAGACCTAATGTGGAGCCTCCTGTTTAATTCTGCGTGGGCTGACACAGGGAAGCGCTGCTGAAAATCTGTGGCTGTGAAAAGATGTGCCTGAATATAAATCTGTATCATCCTGACTTTGAACCCGGGATGCAGCCAAAGCCAGCATTTGTCAGGATGCAAAGTGAGAAGCCCAGGGCTGAGCCAGCAAAGAATCCAGTTGGTATTTAAAGCAGTTGAGCAGAAAGCCACTAGCTTAGGGCGTAATGAAAAACTGCTCTGGAAGCCATGAACTGAGCTGAGTCAGAGATGAGGAAGAAATTGTAGGCACTTCAGGATGCCCAGAAAAATAATAAGGGGCACAGGAAACACCTGAGAGAGCCCCTGTAGGCAACAATTTGGAAGGATCACTCAGAGGAAGGAGGAACAAAGGCTGTGCTGTGCACAGAAACCTCGCAGAGGGCCCAGAGCTGCTGTCATGGGGGACCCACTCCCCGTGGCACAGTACCCAGGCACATTCCTGTAGGGAACTTGCATCCACAGCCCTGCTAGGGAAAGATGTTGCTCGGTGGGTATTTGACAATTTTTAGTTGTGAAGCTGATAGCAATGGTTTACTTTGTACTCCAGATCTTCTAGAGATCGATCTTCAAGAGAAAAGTCCCGAGACAGAGAGAGGAAAGAGAAGAGCTCTTCTGAGAGGCGGCACGAGAGCACAAATGGCAAATCTCGTTCCAAGAGGTCAGAAGAGAGAGAAGCTGGCGAGATCTGAACTCAAACGATCTGTGTTGCACTGTAAATAGTCTGATAAACATTCTACACAAAGCCTAAATTTCCCATTTATATTTACTGAATACAACTCATCTTTTGTAGTTTGGGATTTTTATTGTTTGGCAGATAGCTGTGAGTTTGTAGAGACACAGGAGTTACGTACTGTTTAACAGGATTTTGTTTTAGTAGGAATAAATAAATCTGGATGGATGGTTTTCAGTCCAGGCCAGCGTGGACACCCCACGTTTGTCCTGACACAGCGAGCGCAGCGGTCAGGGCCACGCTGTGCCTGGAGCCCTGAGCTGCCCTGACCTTTGTAATGCTTCAGCCCTTTCCAAAAAACCCACCTGACCCTTTGTGAGCACACCAGTAGCACTGGTTCTCAATTATTTTTTTTTCCTTCAGTTTATGTATGTTAAAAAAAAAAAATCAGATTTTTTTTTTATTATTCCTTTTAGTACTTAGCCACCTCATTTTTATGTCTCCAGTACTTGAGAGTTGCCTCACTTGCCCAGCTAAGGCAAAAAAGATAAAATTTGGCCCTGATCTATTCTGAAAGCTGTTTGTCATTGAGTATGACCAGATGAGCTGAAACATGTTTCTAAGCTGGGCTCAAGTCTGGTTTTAGTACCTTTACAGTTCAGATAGATGAGTTGGTGTGAGCAAAGCAGTGGGAAAGCCGGCTGCTTTCTCCCGAGAAGCACAGCCACAGCTCTGCCTATGTACTGTGCGCTCTGCAGTCAGAGCTTCCCGCGGGGCTCTCTGACCTGCAGACAAAGCGTTGTTGTTTTCCAGGCCAGTCGGGCAGAACGTGCCGAGGCGCGGAGGCGACTCGGGATGGAGCCCGTGCCGCTCCCGGGAGGGCGGCACCGGCCGTGTCCCGGGCGCTGGGAGCCGCTGCCTGTCGCCACTCGCTGGCTTGTGCCTCGGTTTGTTTCCCGCGAGGGCGGGGAGGCTGTGCCAGCCCCGGCCGCGGCCCCCGGGCTCGGCACCCGTCACCGCCAGGCCCGAGCCGCTCGCTCGCCGGTGGGGCGGCGAACCGCCGCCGGTAATTGCCGTTCCCGGGCCCGCTCCCTCCATCCCTCCCCGTTCCCCCGAACGCGGCTCCCCGGTGTCAGTCCCTAGTGCATGCCCCCTTCCCTGTCCGTTTTTACGACAAGCCCGCGGTTTCACGTGTTGTTTTTGTAAGCTCCGTGTGGGGCGCGGGGGGCGGCGGGCGCGCGCTCGGGGTGCCCGTACGCGCCCGTGCTGTTCTCCCGCGGTCTGAGCGCATTAAAGATCTGTGTTTGTGGCTCCCGCTGCTGCCCGGACTCGTTCTTGCGGGCTCTCCGCCCGCGCCGCCGCCCACACCGGACGGGCCCCGCCGCACCGGCGGAAGCGCGCTCCCGCCGCCTGACGTCACTTCCGGCGGGCGGAGGCGGGATGGAGGCGGAAGTGACGGCGGCGGCGGCGGCGCGGGGTGAGTGCGGAGCGGGGCGGGCGGGGGGACCCGCGGGTGGCCTGGGCCGCTCCCGGCGCACCATGGCTCCTCACGCCTCCGTGGGTGCGCACCGAGAGCCCGGCCGCGGCCCCGGCCTTGTCCCCGCGCTGTCGCCGGGCGCTCGGCGGCGGAACCGGCTCCGGGAGCGGGGCTGTTGGCGGCCCGGAGAGAGCCCGCGGCTGTCAGCGCTCCAGCCCAGCCCCGCGGCCTTCCCTGCCGGGACGGAGGGGCTCAAGAAGTGTCCCCGGACCATAGCGGGAAGCCCGGGAGAGAATTTAATCCTTTTCTCCAAAGCCCCGTTGCTGCCTTGGACCCGAGCTCCTTTATCCCGAGGCCGGGCAGTTGCTCACGGTCTGTGCTGCAGGCAGAGCGAGCCCCTCGCCTCTGCAGAGCTCACACGCCCACAGCCCCAGCGCTCTTCTGGACAGGGTGAAATCCTGCTGCTCTTGCCCTCGGGAGCCCACAAGCACAGGGCTTCTTGCCGAAAGGAAAATACTGCGATGGGTTCAACTCCAACCTCACTCCCAGCCTTTTCTCCTGATTTTGTAAGGCAGAAACCTCTTGTGTAACGGCTGGGAGCAAGAGGGGCAGTCTGTCCTGCAGGGAGGGACTGGAGCCAGCCCTTCCTGGGCAGGATTGGACTGCCAGTGGAGCTGAGAGGCTCCCCTGGGATGGATGTGTGATGGGGGAGCTTTGCTCTGTGTGTGTGTGTGTGTGACAGAAAGAAAAATTCCATTTCTGGGGGGACCAAAGTAGTTTCTCTTGAAGGTGGCTGTGAAGGACTACAGCATCTGGAGGAAGGCTGTTGTTTCACAGAATCATGGAATGATTTTGGTTAGATGGGACCATAAAGATTATCTTGCTCCATGGGCAGAGACACTTCTATTGGACCAGATTGCTCTAAGCCCCATCCAACCTGGCCTTTCAACATTCTTTCCATGCTGCCATAAATCTCTCTAGGCTGTGCAGGAGGCAGCATGGAATTCTGACCTGTGGAGTGAGTGCCTCACCTAAAAGATAAACTTTTTCTGTCTTTTGACTAAACCCACGTGAAATGACCACAGCCTTTTCCAGGGGGTTTTTATGCACATAGATCTCTCCAATGTCCCTTGTGCACCCAGTCTCTGGCAGTGAGGGATGTCACTGTGCTTCTGAGGCAAGAGGGGAACCCTGTGGGTGAGGTGGGAGTATCTGAGATGTGGGAGGTTCAAGCACCCTGCTGACAGCTGCCCTTGGAGTTGGCACAAGGGATGTGCAGCAGTTGGTGAGAGGAGTGGCTTGGGTGCTGTGGAGCTTGTAAGCCCAGGGATGATAAATGATTGGTGTTTCTGCAGCCCAGTTATTGCTGGCCTGACCTGTAATCAGTTCCACACAGCTTTAATGCTGTTCCTCCTCTTAGAGTTTTGATCTTCCCATTGCTCTCATGGAAATAATACTGAGTTTTGTTTTGCTCTTCCCTAAACAGTTCAAGTTTCTGTATTTGAACTCCTGTCTGTAGTGAAAACTGCCCTGGGTAAGAGTTTTCTCCTACAAATGACAGATGTATCACAGTGCAAGGTGGTTGTGCTCTGGAGGAGTTTCTAATTCCCGTGCTGTGAGTGCTCTGTGGCACGTGCTGTGTCTGCACTGCAGGGTTAAATGTCATTTCAGAAGCACCTGAGGACAGCTCCAGCAGGAGAATCCCAGAATGGTTTGATTTAGAAGGGACCTTAAGGCTCATTTCATTGCACCCCATGCCATGGGCAGGGACACCCTCCACTATCCCAGGTTACTCCAAGTCCTGCCCAACCCTGTAAACTTCCAGGGGTGGGGCAGCCACAGATTCTCTGGGAATCCTGTGCCATGGCCACACCAGTCTCATTGGTGGGGTTTGGATTACAGGCTGTGTCCTTAGAAAGGCCTTGGGGACATGCCAGGAGCAGAGGTGCCCAGTGTCAGACAGGGATGGTCTCCTCAGGTCAGTGTCCCCAGCCAGCCCTTGGCTGTGACCTGACGTCAGGGAGGACCTGTGAGCTGCAGATGACCCAGCAAAATAACAAGCTTGAGTGCAGCGTGCAGCCTGAATGTCTTGGAGGAGCAAAGCTCATTGTGGGAAATCTTACACGCTATTTCTTCTTGTCCTGATGTAAGTGGAACTGCAGAAAAAGGAACAAATGACCCGAGACTGAATGTCACAGCAGGTGACTGCCCAGCGAGCTTGCTGCAGTGTCACAGAATGCATGGGATCAAAACCCAACAGTCTGCTCATGGAAAATAGCTGTGATGGGAATGTTGCATCTTATTCAGAGCAAAACCGGCTGTTTTATCTTTATTGATTGCAGCTTGGGGCTTCAACAATTTCTGGCTCACAGGAAGGAAATCTCAGAGGTACTTGAACTAACCAACCAAACAGAACCAAACCAGCCAAATGACGTGTTTGTGTTCCTAAAATGTCCATTCAGAACCTGATTTCATCATTCTGTGGAAGATAAAAACACATTGAACATCAAATCTAAGTTACAGTATATTGCTAGAAATTTTCTGTGAAGAATTGGTGCCTGCTGACATTCCAGGTGATGTGGTTTGGTGTTTTATGAGTGGAAAATGAGTTAAACCTTTCCAGTGCAAGGATCCTTAAATGGTTTCTGTCACCAGTCTTCATCCACCTGACTGACTGAGGTTCTCTGTGCTTGTCAGGCAGTTCTGTCTGACTGCTGCTGATGGTTTGTCCCTTGGGTTTAGCTGTGCAAGTCTCTCTGGTTTGAGGCAGATCAGATCTGTAAATCTGCACTGTGGCTTCAGGAAACAGGACAGTGAAGGTGAGTAAAGCTGTGTTTGTCCTGTCCCTGTTGTTACTGTGGTACAGGAAGGGGTGTTTGTTCCCCCTCTGCTTGGGCTGGGGACTGCTCCCAGCTCATCCCATGGCTGGGGGAAGCAACTTTTAAAGCTTGGGAACCCTGGAGTCTGAGATGCAGATCCTGGCTGTGCTGCCACACTCCCTGGCCTGTGTGGGTTCACTTTGGGTTTGTCACATGTGTTTTCTAATTATTTCTCATTCTACAAGGTCTTTCTCCCATGTTTTCTCTTGTCCCCAGATCTACTGCATGTAGTGTGTGTTACACTGCAGCAACACAGAATCCTGTCACTTCTGCTCCCCTGAAAGGTGCCTGGATGGGTTGAACTTCCCAGCTGAGTTATTCTGTGTCCTCTTCCAGCAGGAGACAAGATGTCAGCTGCTAAAGGACAGTAAAACCATCTCAGATGCACACTATAATTTTCTGCTTGTCTTCAATTAAACTGATTACCAGCCCTCTTTGTTGTTGAGCTCGGGCCATTCCACATGCTGCCAGCATGTACTTTGGCAGCAGCAGGCACTGGGATTTCCTGCATTGTTTGAGCCTTGGCCATTGACCTTTGTGGTCCTCGTTCTGGCACCTCCTCTGCTCTGGCAGGGGTGCAAAGGGCATTATTCAAACCCTGAAAGAAAAGAGAGAGAATTGCTTTAAAGGCATTGAGAGCTCTTTGTGCTCGGTGGCTCCGTAGGGTCATCGCTGCAAAAAAGAGGGGAATTACTGGGGTTGGCAGGATAATTACAGCTTTTTTATTGTTCTCATCCCAGTCTAGATGACAGTGCTGAGATTTGTAGTGAGTCATAAGAATATGCCATCAATGCTGTGTTAGGTGGTGTCCCTTTTGGACAGAGAGAGGAGAAACCTGGGTTTGGTTCCTTTTGGGAAGTCCCATAGGTGCTGGTATGCCCTGGATCTTTCCCAGCTCTGTACTGGGAGGCTGTAGAGGTTCTGCTGGAGAGGCTGGTGGGGTTGTGCTGGAGCCCTGTTGCAGCCCATGCTGTGGGTGCTGGTTTTGAGAAGATCCCCCTCTCTGTGCTGCTGGAGATGGACCCTCCAGGGACACACGAGCCACCTGCCCTGACACAGGGGAGGCCACATAACTCACTCCTGCCACTGTCCCCATCACTGTGGCTGCTCCACACCAGTAAATCATTTGCTGGAGCCTCATACCTTGAACCTGCTCAAAGCCTGGTGCGGTAAAAGAGCAACGCTCAGCTCGGGGCAGAGGCTGAAAGCATCACTTGATCTATTGTTCCACTTTCCATCTGGAGCCTTCCTACCCATCAGGTGCCTGCTGTTGGTCTGGGAACAGCCAGGCTTGTGTAGGTGTCCCTGGTGTGGCTGGTGGGCTGATGAGAAGGACAGATTAAATCCTTTGGAATAACATGCAACTTCTGCATTATTGATTCGTTTGCATGGTGTTGTGCAGGTTGAATTAAATTATCTGGAGTGAGATCCTGTACTTAATGCAGAACAAATGCCACAGTGCTTAGGCTGGAGGAAGTGCTTGTAAGTCCAGCAGGCTCTGAGGTGAAAGGGTTGACAGTGCCAGGCTGACCTGCTGATTCTGTGCCTCAGGCTTGCCTTGCCGTGGATCTGTCCCCTTGTGATTTGTACCCAGAAGAGAAGAAGCCTCTGCAGTGGGACAGGCACAGCCTGGGGAGCTGCTTGAAGGATCTGAGCCTCCCAGGGTGACTCATCTTGTGTTTCACAGGACCTGTAAATGAGCTTGGGTAGAAACATGAGACACAGCGAGCCCTGTTGCTGCTGGAGTTGAAATCCTATGCTCTGTACTGTGTTGGTGCTGACTTTAAGCTTTTTTCTGCTGGGGAAGTAAATGGCTGCAGGGGACAACCCAGACATGTGACTGCTGGGACACAGTCATGGAAAATTGGCTTGGTTGTCGAGGTTATTTACTCTGATACAACTTTTCATAACACTGTCAAGCAGCTTTTTCCAAGCCTACTGGAATGGGTTATTCTTTA